CCCACGCCCCCCCCCCCCCAAGGCTGAGGTCCTGCGGTTTCCTCCTTTCCTGGGGTTTCATAACATCCTTGCCAGAGCCGGTCCAGATCTTGAGACCCGGCCGCGACCCCTTTCCATCTCTCTAGCCCTAAAGCAGAGCCTGGCCACGTTCCATCCTTTTTTGTGTATCACAAGTCCTATCATCCCCAAGCCAGCTGGGTCAAAGAGCTTGGCCAAACTCCACACCCACAAAGAAAGGTTTCTTGATCCAGCAGGGGGTGGGGGTGGAGGGGTTCCTACTTTGCCCTTCCTTTCCTTTTCTCTGGCTTTTGGTCCGGGCCTCCCTTGCTCCCATGGCCCGGATCAGGCCGCAGCCCATCCCTTCCTTCCCAAGGAGATGCCAAGGCCGGCCGGAGGAAAAAAGGTCACCAGCGTCCAGGCCGGAATGTCCTCCCGCCCCCTCGTTTCTCCGATGCCAGGTTTCGTTCCCTCGTTCCCTGGGCAGTTCCGGAATGGGGTCAACTCCGGCGCCCGGCTTTCCCGCCACCTCCTTGCGTTTGGGTTTCAAGCGATCTTGAGCAAGCCGTTTTGGGAACTGATTCCCTCCACCTTGCAAACGGTTCGGAACATCGTTGCAGCAGGAAGGGCGCCTGGCTGTTGAATCTTGACCCGTTCTTGAAGGGCAGAGACACCCGCTTCTCTCCTCCTCGCCCGACGGGCAGCTTGTTTCTAGCTTAACGATTTGATGCTTAAATCTCATTTTGCATGTTTTTAGTCTGTCAGGAAGACTGCTAAGGCTGGAAACGGCGTTGAGGGAAAGCAGGGTATAAATGTAGCAAATAAATCACCGCTACTACCAGGGTGGCCATTGGTGGATATCCGAAAAAGAGGTCCAGAAGAGGATGCGAATTCTGAGGTAGTGACCCATGCTGCGAATCCAGGTTAGAAAAAGACACTAGGAAAGAAAGAAAGAAAAAAGTAGCCTAGAAAGTGACCCTCATTAGCGACAATTCCAAGCCAAGCCAGTCCTCATGGTGACCTTGGACCCAGGCAGCCAAATATCGTGGGCTGGCCCAAGTTGGAGCAAATGGTTCTGTTTCGTCTGAAGAAGGGGATGATGGGACTTCTAATGCCCCCCCCCCAAAAAAAGGAGAGAGGCAAGAGTTTGGAAAAGTTCCTTGGTCGGGACCTAGCTCTCCAATTCCTCTGGGAGAAACTGGAAATGGGTGGCTGGGTGGGAATCACGCACTGCGATCACAACTCCCAGAATCCACAGCAGCAGACTTGTGGGCAGTGGATTCTGAAAGTTGTGGTTTTGAACAAGTGATATCTTTTCCCCCCTCCTGATTTTTGCTCCACTCCCGCTTGCTGGCCGAAGCCAAGGCCCCTCGGGGTTTTAAGAACGGGGAAAGGCACGGCTCAGGCGGCTTAGAAGCGGATTGGAAGCGAAGCGCGGGCGGTGGAGGAGACCCCCCTTCCTCCGACTTTCCCTGACCTGGAACCACGTAAACAGAGGAGGGGGGGGATCCTCAGAGGGGCTTCCAGGGACGCACCCCAGAAGGCGCGTGCCGCTGGGCCGCCTGAAGGGCAGATGTGCCATCAGCTCACTTTCTCCACCTGGCCTCCCCCATCCAGGGGTCCCGCTTCTGCTGCAAAACCCCAGGCCTGGGGGAACCAGGGTGTCCTTCAGCCCCACGGCCCAGGGTAGGGGGGGTTGACCTTGCTGACCCCGGCTGGCCGGCCGGCATGGCCCAGGGTGGGGCAGACGGGGACAAAGAGCTCCATGCCGTGCAGTGAAAGGAAGAGGGGGGGTCCCTTCCAGCAAGCCGAGAAATCCCACAGCGGGCCCCCGCATCCCTATGGGCCCTGGCACATCACCCCATCCCGGTTGCCCAGGCGACCGGCCTCTGCCCACCCTCTTGGAGGCCAGTCATGAATTCAGAAGAAGGAGCAGGAGGAGAAAGCGGGGGGGGGGGACGGGACTCCAGAGGTAACTTTGGGTCAAGCGGGGAAAGAAGGAAGGAAGGGAAATGCGCTTACGGGAGGAGGGGGGGTAAAAGGGAAATGCGCTTACGGGAGGAGGGGGGTAACCCTTTCTCCCTCTCTCTCGAGGCCTGGGAAAAGCCTCCGGCGTGGGCACCCTTTCTCCCTCTCTCTCTCTCTCTCTCGGCCTGGGAAAAGCCTCCAACGTGGGTGGTGGGGAAGAAGGGCCTCTGCAGCCAGCTCAGGAAAGTTACTCTTTTTGGACTACAAGACCCAGCATCCTTCCAAATTGCATTGCCCCTGCTCCAGGCCGTGGCTGCTTCACGGTGCTTCCTCCGCGGACATCCATATTTTCGTCCTCGTGGACTGAATCCTCTGAATCCTGGATCGCTTCGTTTATCACGGAGGGAGAGAAAAGCAGCCCATTATTTTTTGAGGATCAACATTAGGGGCCTCAGAAGGAGAGGACAACGGCTGCCCCCCCCAAAGATGAAGCTACCCCAAGGGACGACCAGATCCTAATTGGACATCCGTCCCGGACAGGATTGTCTGAGGTTTCTGGGGAGTGGCGGAGGGTGTGTGTGTCCCCTGATGGCACGTCTTGTCTATCCTCCAACCCACAACATCTTCCACCTGAGGCCACTTCCTCCCTCGTTTTCAGGGTAGAGCTGGCTCTCGAGACCACAGAAAGGGCTTGACTGCTTTCCAAAGCTAGAAATCTGCAAGCTTTTCCTTTATGGACTACAGATCCCAGAATCCCCAGCCTACGGAGTTTCAAAACATGTTATTTCCAGGATTTGTTTCTCCTTTTACAGGCACCACAAAAGACCCCCCAAGGAGACGTCTTGAAAGGGTCACCCAAAAGGGAGGCCACGAAGGAGAGGCTTCCCAGCCGCTGGCAGGCAGGTGAGGATAGACTGCTCAGGCCCCGGGAGGTTCCCTCGACCTGGTCTGCCGGGGCTAGGCTGGCTTGGGAGACCCACTCACCCCCTTCCTCCGTTTCCCCGGCCTCTCTCTCCCCTCCCCTACTCCCAGATCCCATCGAAGGAGGAGAGAGGAGGTGGGGAGGGAGGGAAGGAGGGAGGGGGGGGCTGGCCGGAGCCCCTCCTCCGCCCGGGGATCAGGCCACCGCCCGGCGGGGCTTAAAAGGCGGCGCAGGCGGAGGCGCTGTCTGCGCGCTCGGGTGCTGAACCGGAGTCCGGCGCGCACCGAGGAGGATGGCGCGGCCGGGCTTGGGCACCTGCTGCCTCTTCTGGGCGCTGTTGGGGGCGGCGGGGGCCGGATCCGACCCGGACCTGGACCGGCTCTGCCTGCTCCTGGGCGAGGCTCAAGAGGGGCAGCTGGCCTTCCAGGCCTCCGACGGGCGGGAGGTGCTGAGCGCCGCCTGGGCGCCCCGACGGCCGCACCGCCTG